TGGAGGAGTAAATGAGTGCGAGAGCAGAGAAAAGCTTTCCTAAAAAATATGGTGAGCCATGCGAGCTGCTCCTCTAAACAGCTTTTTACAAGAGTGTTTGGCTTTTGCACGAGCTATCTATTTATTCTTTAAAAAAGTTGCTTATTAGATACAAAATTTGGTTTTGTAGTTGTTACAAGCATAGGTTTTTTATGTTAATGTTACAAAAATATATACATAACATATTACGCATGAAAAATTCTTTAGACAGATGTTATCTTTAGGTTTTCACACTAGCTATTCATTCATTTATTAACATTGTTACCATGCCTATATTACAGTTTTACTTTAACTTACATTACATTACTTATTTGGTAAAAAATTTGACAAAGAGCTATAAAAGTTTTTACTGCTTATAAAAAATGTTTTATATTTTCTTATTGTAATAGAATGCAGGCATTTTAAGAATTATTACAACAATTAAAAATTTCACAATAAAAGTAAGTAATATATTAAAGTAATTTTTTTTTTATTTGCATTCACTCCCAACAAGGCTGCAAGCAACCACTATTAAGTTGGGAGTTACTAGGAAAAAAAAGAACAGAGTTATAGAGCAAGGAAACGGTTGACAGAAGACTTGAAAAGTTGAAGGTTGTATGAGTCAGGAAAACATGAAGATGGGAGAGAGTTCCAAAGGATTGAAGTGCGGGGAAAAAAACTAGATGAATAAAAGTTTTTAGAGCATGCAGGGACAGATACAGTAAACGAATGAGACTTAGCTGAATGACGAGTAAATCGAGAATGAATTTTAGTTGATGGAACTAGAGATGATAACTCCTTTGAGCAGTGACCATGATAGTATTTGTAGCAAAGTGAAAGAGATGCAACTTTATGACGATGGGAAAGAGGTTCAAGCTTAGCAGATAGTCCACCAACAACATTTACAATGCGTTTTTGGACCTTGTCAAGAAGAGAAAGTGAATCGTTAGAAGAACCAGCCCAAATATGACAACAGTATTCCATACAGGGACGAATAAGAGATTTGTAGAGGTAGAGAATGGAATCAGAAGTAAGGAAATGGCGAGCATGATAAAGAGAAGCAACTTTAACAGAAGCTAATTTAGCAATCGATTGTATATTGTTTCCATGAAAGGTCAGTAGTAAGCGATAATCCAAGAAGACGTAAAGAGGAGGACTCAGTAAGAGGATTGCCATTCATTAATATAGGAATGTTGACCATGTTACGGTAGTTGTTTGCAGTAAGCAATTGGGTTTTTTTAGAGTTGAAATTCACAAGCCAATGTGAACTCCAATCTATTACTGAAGCGAGATCAGATTCAAGATCAGCTGCTTGTTCTAGGCGATCGAAAAGAGAAGACTTTTTGTCAAGGCAGGAGTATAAAGTTGAGTCATCAGCAAAAAGAGCTACTTTAGATGAAAGGTTGTCAGGAAGATCGTTTATGTAGATAAAAAACAAAACAGGGCCCAGGATAGAACCTTGGGGAACCCCAGAAGTTACTGGAAATAAAGAAGAGTGTTGGCCTTCAAGGATGACTTTAATAAACCGGTTAGAAAGGAATGATTTGATAATCTCAAAAACTTTCCCAGAAACTCCATATGAAGCAAGCTTATGGAGAAGACCAGCATGCCAAACTTTGTCCAAAGCTTTAGATATGTCGAGAGCAATAGCCCTAGCCTCACCGCCTCCATCTAATGCACGATAAAATCTTTCAGTTACAACAGTTAGCAAGTCGGCGGTAGAGCGAGAGGATCGAAAACCGTATTGATTGTCTGACAGCAGTTTATTTGACTCAAGATGAGATGTGAGGAATTTGTTGATCAAAGACTCAAAGACCTTGCTAATAACAGAAAGAAGACTGATCGGACGATAATTGGAGGGGTCAGAATTTTCTCCAGAGTTTTTGAATATTGGAACCACAGATGCCATTTTCCAACAAGCAGGAAAACAAGACTCAGTCAAACACTTGTTAAATAGTTTAGAGAGAATTGAAGAAAGTTCTGGAGAACAATTCTGCAAGACTGTGACAGGAATGTTGTCTGGACCACAAGCTGTAGACGAGTTTAATTGAGATATGACTTTAGCAACAGAAGCCGGAGTGATTTGAATGTCTAACAATGGGTCAACCTGTTTGACTGGAATGGAAGGAAGAGATTGCCCATAAGATTCAAGAGTGGAATTAGAAGAAAAGTTCTTTGCAAACAGTTCTGCCTTATCCCTGGGAGAGGTAACAAGATCAGTCCCATGAATGAGAGATGGAATGTTAGATCTACCCTTGTTAACAATGCTGTTGAAGATTTTCCAAAAGTCTTTAGAGCCTAACTTCTGCGATAAGATGCGAGATTTAGTGAACTGAGAATAATGGAGTTTAGCATCAGAAAGCACCTTTTTACATCGATTTCTTGCAATAATAAATAGCTGTTTGTTCTCAAGAGAGTTGTTCTTTTGAAAAAGATGAAAAAAATGATTACGATTGGATATAGCAGCCGCACAAGAAGGAGAAAACCATGGAGTAGAATGAGGCTTGACTTGAAACCGACGAGAAGGAATAAAAGCTTTCATTCCAGCCTGAATCCAGGAGGTTACATAAGAGGCGCATTTGTCAGCTTAGAGAGAAAAAACATCAGCCCAAGGACCATCACGAAGAAAATCACAAAAGGAATCCCAGTCAGCTTTAGGGTAGTAGTAGGTGGTGCGATGATAAGGTGAGCCCAAAAAAGAAGTACGAGAAGAAAGATTTATAGAGATCATTGCATGGTCAGAACCACCTAAGGGAGAAAAGGGAGAAACTGAACATAAGCTAGGGTCAGAGACAAGACATAAGTCAAGGAGTGAAGGTAAATGATTAGGGTTGTCAGGAAAACGAGTTACAAAGTTAACTATCTGAGTAAGAGATTGAGAAACGCAGAAGTTAAAGGCTTTAGTGCCAGCAGGATCAGTGGTGTTAGAGCCAAGCCATTCAGTGTGATGGGCATTAAAATCACCAACAACAACAATATTGGCAGAGGGGTAAAGAGAGAGGGCATGGTCAATTTGATCAGAGATAACATCTAAAAGAGTGCAATCATGGGAAGAAGGAGAACGATAAAGAACAAAGAGAAAGGTGATAGAGTGAAGAGGTGCTAGGCGAAAGCACATAAAAGAATGGTCAAAGGATTCGAACCTGATTTCACGACAAATAGGGGAATTAATGCGTATGTATACCCCTAAACCTAGCATGTGACTATTGGAGTCTTTACGAATCAAAGGATAGTACCCATCAACACTGACATCTGAAGAAGGAATTGCAGAACTTAAATTTGTTTCACTGAGTGCAAGCAAGTCTGGTGATTTTTGCAGGAGGTGAGACTCAACTGATGGAAAGTTGCTTCGTAGACCGCGAATATTTGTAAAAGATATATTAAAATATTTAGGTGGTGGGGATGGTTTTTTAGGTTTTAAATTTTTGGTTACTTTGGTCATGATTTGGGTTTAATGAGAACTTGACTCATTTATAGATAGAGCACAGCCTCCTATCCAATGAGCTATGCAGTTGTCTCAGTCCTGTTAATTAACCCTAAGCCGTGACATAGGGCTCCTTATGTGGCCTTGACAATGCACACCAAAAGCATTAACAGGGACACCATCCATGCGCAACATGGCACTGTTAATACTCTGATATTTTGCAGCTGTTGATGGAATCAGCCTCTCTGAGAGCTACCACAGTGTTCGGGAAACCTTACTACCAGCCGGCCTCAGAACCATTAAACTGAGTTTTAGAGCTGTACCCTCATATGGAGATAACAGGAAGAGTTGCATAGCCATTATCAAGGAGGCATAAGCAAAATTCTATGAGTAGAGTCAAGGAGGTCCAGCATTCATCATCCTAGGCAGGAAACAATGTAACACAGGTTACATCTACGCCAGCCTAATAGATGAAGAAGGGGTTCGAGGCTGGTTAGCAGAATTTTTCTGCTTACCCCTAAAGTCTTTGCCTAGGAGGCCTTCTACAAGACAGTAGCTGGATGCAGTTAACATCTGCCCAAGATGAGTATTTTTATCGAGACACCATCTCTAGCCTTTACTCAACAAAGAGCCCCAAGGCAGGGGATGTTTAGCTTGATGCAGTTAACATCTGCCCATGATGAGTGTTTTTATCGAGACACCATCTCTAGCCTTTACTCAACCAAGAGCCCCAAGGCAGGGGTATTTTTAGTCGTAGTTTATTTCTCCTAGCCTTTGCATAAGAAGAGCCCACTCTGCAAGGCAGCAGGGCTTGTGGCAGGTGGTACTGGGTTACGTGATACCAGTAGCAAGATTGATCTCGATTATCCTGACCTGACCTGGAGTAGTTAAAAGTAGTTACTTCCCGCAACAGTACTTTGAGAAAACCAGGCATGACATTTTGGAAGTGCATTAGGAAAAACACTGCATCTAACAAAATACAGGAGTCTAAGGTGAGTGTACGTTTCGTAGTTGGAGTAAGTAGTTAGTTACTGAGCTCACGCTGCATTAGAGTATAAACAGAACACAAACAAACATAAATCAACTTACGGGTGAGTCAACACCGCGCCAGAGGTTCAGACAGAACACAAACATACATAAAAAACATAAAGTAACTTACGTGTGAGCGAACACCGCGCCAGAGGTTCAGACAGAACACAGACATACATAAAGAACATAATTAAAAGAGAAAAGATGGAAAGATAAGTAAAAATGATATTAGTCAATGATTCAGGCAATAGAAAATACCAAACAAAAAAAGAGAACTAAAAGACCATTAAATCCATAATTGATCAAAATTTTGAAAGTATCTGACACAGGGGGCTTCTCAATATTTTTATTAACGAAACACATGTACTACTTGAAGTAGAGTTTGCAATAAGTTAATAAGTTATTTAACTTTTCAGCCAAAATGGGAAAAATTTGTAAAGAAATAGCATTTGCAGGTATTAAAGCAAACAAGTTTGTTATTTTTTAAGAATGTACTCTATTTCTTGCTTTTTTATATAATGTTTGCTGTTGTTGGAACGCAATGCAAAAAATTATTTGCAAAATTTGAAAAATGAAATTTACAAGCCTAAAATTGCTAAGAAAATTCCAATTCTCAAGAAGTTTTTTTCTAATACACATTTTCGCAGTTATAATAATAATAATAATTCTTTTAAACACCCAATAATTACATAAAGTATAGGTAAAAAGATTAAAAAAATAAATAACAACAAAAAATTTAAGTATTTTCTTGCATTGTTCTTGGAATGTTCTCCTTCATCAGAGTTCTAAATATTAATCTTTGTTCCTTTAAATACCAATGTTGGAAAGATTGTTTTAAAATCACAGCAACATTGGTCTCCAATACTGACGGCGTGCAATTATAATTTTTTTACCCTCAATCATACATTGGAGCATGTTTATACTTACTGTCTTGCATATTGTTAATACCTCACCCACAAATAATTGTTAATTGCTCATTAACGGCATCTGAGTCCGTATAATCGAGTAACATATGGGATTGTTTAGAAGCCTGCTAAATAGGTTTAGTTTGTTGCAAAAAAGTATGGCTGACATAGTGTCTATTTTGAAATAAGTATGTAGGTAATTTCTACTTTGCTTTGAAGTATTAAAGAAAGATTTAAAGACAGGTTGTCCAACTATATCAATGCTATTTAGAAACTTATTGTTGCTTCCACACAGTTCTAATCCGTATAACAATGTTGGAACAGCTAAGGAATTAGATAAATGAATTATGGTAGCAAGTTGGCAAAAGCAAAGTCTATTTCTTATAAGAGCTCTCGCAACATATAAAAATTGCATTACACGTTCAGTTATATTTATTTTTTGGAGTGTTGCTATCATATTTTTGTTCTTATTAACCTAAAGTAAACCAAGATGTTTTAGATTGCTTTGAGACTTGATGAGGGGCACCATTAATATAAATAACATTATTTATAATCGAACTTATTCCAGATATAAAAAATTCAGCTTTTTCTGTATTTAGTTTAACAAAGTTTGATATTTCATTCTCTTGAACAATGTTAGTAAGATATAGTGGAACTTTGTAAAACTATATTATCAGCATACGTAGTGACACCTGTGTCTACCCCATTTATTGAAGTTACAACTTTTGATACTGAAAAAATTCTCTAGAAGATTTTTAGTGTAGAGATGAGGCGACAGTCCTTGACGCACTTCCTCAGACAGCCTAAATTTTTTTGATGTACATCTAAGATATGATATATTAGAAGTACCTGTTGGATATAGTGATGAGATTGTATGAACTATAGATAATGGGATTCTTTTCTGGTAATAGAGTTTCTAAAATAGTAATTCCCAATTACAACTGTCAAACACTTTGTTGGCGTCTAGACTGCATACATATAGTGGTGAGTTATTATGTTTGTAGTGCTTTATTGTTTCACTCAGAAGAAATTCTGCATGGAGGGTAGAGCTTTTTTTTTTAAAATCGAATTGATGGGAATGACTTTCTGTTATATCTGGACATATGTGAATAATAAGATATTCAAGAAGTTTTTCAAAAATTGATAAAATGCTGATTCCTTGATAGTTATTTGGATTTTCCAGTGATGTTTTATATGAAATAATTGTGGCGGTTGATAAACATTGTGGTGGTTAATAAACATTGTGTTATGCTATATTGGTGTAATTCTGTTAATTGTGTAATTCTGTAATTGTGTTAATTCTGTAATTGTGTTAATAATTGTGGCGGTTGATAAACATTGTGTTATGCAATCGCATAGTTATACCAGTAATGGCGTATTTATTTCAAGTTATGCATAATTAATAAATTGCCTAAAGTTTACGGAACTGCTCAACATAATCTATAATATATATATATATATATATATATATATATATATATATATTATAGATTATGATAATTATGTTGATCATAATCATGTTTATATATGTATATATGTACAAAATGTAACATGAATTTTGAATAAAAAAACTTTAGGATGTATAAATGTTGCAACCTCAGACACAAACCCGGCCCTGGCTATATTTTATTAAACCCAGCTCTGGTCAAATTTCAACCCCAGTTGCTTCCTTCAGGAAGCAACTGGGGTTGAAATTTGACCGGAGCTAGATATGGTGAAATTATCTTTGCTAGATGTGGTGAAAACTTTGCTAGATGTGGTGAAATTATCACATTTGAAACAATTAATGAAATAAATTGTAATTAAATTTCTGACCTAAATGAGTTATAGCAAATAGAAAAGTTATTTTGCAAAAGTTAAGTGAAATTTTACACAGCCAAAGTTGCATTGGTGCTTATGCAATTTTGACAGATATGCAGGCTTATGTTTTCTGGTGAATAAAAATTCTCAAGTTAGGAAATTTTACATTACTGTACAATAATGAACACAGTTTGATATATTTAAAAAATTTGAAACATATATAGTTTGGTTTTAAGCACTCTGAGTTTTTATTTATTTATTTTTTTGCTCTTTATTTCAGAAATGGAACTAAGTTCTGGGAAATATCGTCCAGCTGTTTTAAAAGTAACTTTTTTTTTCATTTATTCAATTTATTTATTGTAAACAATTTGAACAATTTATGATTTTCTAATTTAAGTTTTTTTTTTGAAAAAGACATCACTAGGAAATGCACTTTTATGGTCATGACCATATTAATCAATAACTAGCTGTCATGAACCGTAAAATACGGGTCTTGGTAAATCTATTCCACACCGACCTTTTCTATACTTATTCTTTACTTCAATAAATTTTAGGTAGAAAAATAATTAAATACATATATAATAAATATAATGTTAACTTAATGTTTACTTTTTAAAGCTATAAAATAAGTTTTCTAATATATTTAAATTTAAAAAACTTTTCACGTTTCAGTAGACGTTACGCAAATCGCTATTTATCAACAAATTGGATATCAGTACCAGTCTAAATAAGATTTAGAATACCCGCTTGAAATGTGTTAATTAAATACCATTGGTATAAAAAGTTTCAAAAAACATGAGATGACTTAAATATGTGGAATAACTGACACACCATGTCCCGTATAATTGTATTTGAACATTAATATATTATTGGTCATGGTAAATTTATTCCACACCTACCATTTTAATAATTTTGTTTTATTTCTATAATTTTTAAAAAAGCCCAAAATATAAAAATCTTTGTTTTAAGTTAACGATTAACTTTCAATATTTTACAACTTCTGTAAACTTATTCCATAGATCATCCAGGTTGTTTTACAAAAATCTGGAAAATTGTTTGGGTAAAATGTCAGAAATATATTTTACTTTATTTTCCTTTTTATTTTGCTTTTAGCTGAGTTGTTTCAAAATTTTTTTAATTTTATTATGAGTGATGAGTGAAAAAACTTAAAAACTAATATATTACAAAAATGTATTCCTAAACTTGTATATGTATGGAAAATGTTTTGGCTATCCGGAAAAATTTAAAGTTGAGAAAAATCCGGAAATAGATCCCCGTTATAAGGACTCTTGCCCTGTTCATTTTAAAGAAAATAAAGTTTTTAATGCGCATTAAAGAGATAACTTTCTTTTTTATAGTAAAATCTTTTTTCTATAAAAAAGAAAGTTATCTCTTTAATGCGCAAACTTATCTTTTAATAGCCACATGAAAACCTTAAACTCTATTGTGGCATATGCGCGCAACAAATTTCCAACAGTGTTTTCATGTTTTTAGAAATTAAAAAAAAAACTTTTTTAAAAGTTCTCTCCCTTTTGTTTGTTATAGTATACAATATCTTTATATATGATATGCATATCATATCTCTATTAACCTTTAAAATTGCTTTACTTTGTATTCTAGAAAATTGGAAAAAATTAAAAATATTAAGTGTGAAAACAAAAGGTTTAGACCCACGCGAATTACTTCAACCACTTTGGCATGCTACAATTTCATATTTTAACACTGTTTAATAAACTAAAGACTTTTTAAACTTTATAAAACGGCATATAAATGCTTTATAAAAATTCATATAAATCAAAATTAAGCAAATATCACCCTAATAAAGTAAAAGTAAATCTGTAAAATTTGGTATAATTTTTAATAAATTACATAGTTTGAAGTTTACGTCAGATATTTGCATAGAGTTTTGTTCACACAGGTAAAATACGAATCATAACAGATAGTGGTTTCAAAAAAATGTCTAATAGCTTTGTAAAATTAAAGATTTTTTTATTTACACATTTAGTAACAAATTAAAAAAACATCAAAACTTTAATAGTTTTTAATTGTATGTCTATATTCTACAAACACGTCATCTGATTAATCTAAAAAGAGTAATCGAATTAAAAAAGGAAAAAAAGCATCACATGTATTAACTGCAAATCAATTTATTTATACATAATAACTAAACAAAATATATAAAGAAAAGTATGTATTTACAAAAAAAAATTCAACTAAATTTGTCAATTACTGATTGGTAGATTAACCAACTACAAAAATATTAATTATAGGTGCAGCATATTTTTTCCCCACCTTTCTCTCTTCTCATACTTTACTTTCTACTTAAAAAAAAAGAAAAAAAAAGGGAGGGGGGGAAGAGATTTGCCCTAAATTTAAGCCCATATGTGCCTTATGGGAGTGGGCCCTCTATTTGATCTGCAATAAGCTGAAAAAGCATTGTAAGATGTCTAAACTAAAAAAAAGATAAAATTATAATTAAGACATGATGAAATAAGTAAAAACATAAAAGATTAGCACTACAAACTAATTTACTTGTTGCTGATGCTTTTTCTAGAGTATTGTTAAAAATAGTCAAAATCTGTAAGAAAAAACATTTATTGCAAAAACAGTTAGCTATTACACAAAATAACAAAAACATAATAGCTATCAGTGCAAACAAATTTTGCAGTTTGATCAGGAAATAAAATTATTTTTACATTGATTTTGACAACTAATTTTCTTTTAAACAATTAGCTAATGATCAACTTAGCAAATTTAAATAATTAAAGTTAAAACCATATTTTAACAGTAGACAAAGTAAACATATTTTTGTACTCAGCACCTAAAGAAATAAAATAAATACACCTAAAGAAACAAAACTAAAGAAATAAAATAACTAAATTTGCTATGTGATGCATTGTGATGCATTGTGATACCTATTGAGTTCTTGCCTAGCCTAATTTCTTTCATTATGATTACAATTTATCTCAGCTCGCCTAGGCTCATCTCTTTCATTTTTACGACAATTTATCTCAGCTCACCAACCTGGTTTCTTTTATTTTGAGTAAGTCTTATATTTTCGCTTCTTAAATTATCAGACATTGTTAGGCATCAAAGGAGTGTGTAAAAATGATGCTCAAAATAATAAAAGTTTAACTTTTATTTTTAGTTTGAACTTTGAGTTTTCTTTCTTAAACTTTTCTAAAATACAGTGTAAGCAAATAAAACAGCATAATATAATAATCTAATTATTATATAAATATTCTACTCTACTATTAGTCATATTTAATTTAGATGTTTTAAATTAATTGAGCAATGTGTAAAGATAACATATTTCTATCAAGAACATAAACTAAAGTTATAAATAAATTGATATAATCTTTTTAACTGAGTAATGTTATATATAAGGTAGTTCTTATTAATTATTGACAAAATATTATAAGTATTTAATTTAAAAAAAAAAACTAATAAAAAGCAATTTTTTTATAGATAAAAACTCATAAAGCAAATTAATAAAATTATAAAGCTTGTCTGCTCAGTAAGTACTGCTAGCATTGAACAGTGAAATGTAATTTGCCATCATAAAATCGCTTTCATTACTTTGAAATGTATTTAATGCAAGATTTTTAATAAATAAGTAAATTCAAAACAAATAATAGAAAACCTCTATAAACAATTATTTGCTTCTAGTGAAAAAACTTGGAAACATTGAAACTTCTTGAACTATTTTAGTTATTTTTATATTTAATATTCTAAAGAAAAAAGGTTACTAATACAATGCAGAAAAGTTAAAATGTATGTATGTATGTATGTAAAGCATATATTGTTAACAAAAAAGAACAGAGTATTTATCTTTGAACATTTTTTTTTTTTTTTTGATTAACAAAATGCAAATTGTTAACAAAAAAGGAACAGTTTTTACTTAAAAAGTAACAGTATATAAATAATTAATGAAGTATATATTTCTAAAGAAATTTACTAAAAATTATAAATATTAAAAAAATTATAGGTATTAAAAAACTATATCTTTTTAACATTTCTTTTAAACAATATTTTTGTAACACATTTTATGATTTCACTAATTACAAACAGATTTAATTTATGTGTTTCATTGTGACAGTACTCAACTTTACTGGCACAAACAACATTCTTGTTCTCAACAAAGCCAAGTCACATTATAGCAAAGTACACCACTTAGCCAGCAAGGTCAACAATCTTGCTGTAAACTAAGCTCAGTCACAACAATTTGAAACCACACAAACAACATAATAATCACCTACAAGCTAAACACATTATAACACATCACGAACATCGAAACACTTCATATATAATAGATATTTACACACTTACAAAATATAAACCCATATAACCTCTACACATATAAACACATAATAAATAACACACAAATATAAATAAATATATAAATTAAGAAAAATATATAAATTAGAAACTTTACAAATGCAACCTTATTTTTTAATATTTGCTTAATAACATACCTCGTAATAAATGTTTAACAACTTTAAATAAACAAATGATCAAATGACTTGGTTTTTTATATCATAAAAGCAAAAAGATTTTTTTAACTTCTTTAAATTAAAATAAAATATTAAATGCTCTTGTTCTTTAACATGTTACATGATGTGTGATGATGGTGATGTGTGATGATGGTGATGTGTGATGATGGTGATGTGTGATGATGGTGATGTATGATGATGGTGATGTTTGATGATGTTGATGTGTGATGATGGTGATGTGTGATGATGGTGATGTGTGATGATGGTGATGTGTGATGATGGTGATGTGTGATGATGGTGATGGTGTGAAAACCTTTAACATGTTACATGATGTGTGATGATGGTGATTGTGTGAAAACCTTTAACATGTTACATGATGTGTGATGATGGTGATGGTGTGAAAACCTTTGAAAAAAGCAACGCCTTCTAGAGTCATCATTGTCTTCTAATTTAAAAGTTACAGAAATATAATTAACAAAAGACTTGAATTGTGTTTTTATTATAATGCATGAATTAAATAAATTATATGAATTTAAAAGTAATTAATTCAAAAATAACTCAAGGTTCATCCTTTAATGCAGAAGTTATCAAATAAAAATTGTTGATCTTATTACTAATTAAGTTGTTGAAGCAAAGTTTTCCATCTTTTTACTGATTAAACAGATATTAAGATTTGAGAGTACCTCTTCACCTGAGCTCAAAAGTATAAAGAGCATGCTAAATCCTATTTATAATATAAAACTGAAAGGCCAAGTATTGTAAAAGACTCTGTGTAAACGCGCACAAATGGGTAAACATTAGCTTAAGCAATAATATAAGACAATTATAATC